CACTGCCAAGTAAAAAGAAATTAAAACTTCAATATCCTGGGACTAGAGTAGCTTTGCATGATCCCTACCGAAAATATTTGTTTTTCTACTTTAAACAACTTCTCAGTTCATCTTTTATCTAAAGCGTAGACTGTATTATATTAATGATGGACACAACCATCATACCTTCGTCATCGGATTTTAAAGTTTCAGTTTTAGTATTTAGAGTTCTATCATTTTGGGGGTTTTTGGAGCCAAAAGTTATCATTTGCAGAGCGTTGAACACAAAATTGTAAGATAAGACTATAGCGAGCTTGGAGCCAGTTTCAAGTGGCCATTAGATGAACTGCAGTTTATGGAAACTATGTCGCCTTTTGTTGAGAGTCTACAGAGTCTGTGATCCTTTCCCTTGAAATCCCGTTCTATAAAAACTTATTTCTCTCTGATTGGTCACCTTCTGGAAGCCTACTAAGGTACAGCTGCACCACATGTCTGCATGGTAAAGTTTTTGCTCACATGGGTTATTTCACATTATTTACGCCACTATATCTGAAATTTTTACATTAATATACAAGCTACAACGTTCATATTTTATGTGTCAACTGAGCACGACTCAACAGATAATCAACTATAAGTCCTTTTTATGTGTTTACAACAAATGCTTTATATCTGTTACTATATAGCTTTTATATGGCTTTGTTTCTAGTCTAGCTTCATATTTCACAGTCAGACATGAAAGTATGATCAAAGTTATACACAAGATTCCCTGTAGGTCTATTCACATACATGTTCAATTATCATTTTAATGGCAGTCTGCAGTATAACCAGCTCAGGAGTTACATTTCGCAATCCACAAAGGTGCAGTATTTGTCAAAAGACCACATGCCTGCCGTGACTGTGATCTTAAAGAATAATCATGCCTTCGAGCAACCTGCCATGGATGACAGGCTCAGTACGCTTTTGTCAGACCGTTATCTGATTTGCGGAGACATGTAATGTACATGGGCAAATTTTTTGATAAATGTACTGAAGAAAAACAGAGAGACAGAAACTGTAGGAAAAGATAAGAGAAGGGAGTATCGTAGGGAGACAGGCTGGCTGGCAGCCCTGTTTATCCAAAAGATGATCAGACCGCTATTCCATTTCTTGTTGTAGAAAATCAATGTTGGAGGAGCCAAGAGATGAAATTTATCTGAAGCTGCCGGTGCAGAGAATATTCCCACAATTGCCTTGACTGTACTGGATAAGTTAATGCTGTATCCTGTGTGTGATAGCTCAGGCATTGCAAACATTCAGACCTTTCATCCATGTCCTATCATCAGTGGGAGAGCAGGACGCAGCCAAGGAGATTCTGATAAGGGCCAATATCAGCCGGGCGAAAGACAAAGCAAATTTAGAGGTGGAGGTCACGGAGGATGGTTTGTGTAAACAAGGAAAGGCAAAAGAAATGGAAACCACTGAAATAGCAGGGGGCTAATTTATTAAAGAAATGACTCCATTTAAAAAAGTTTAACCTTATAGCAGAAACACCACAGCATCATGCTAGCAAATAGGTTCAAGCTTATCCTGGTTATTTGCTTCCTAAGAGAGCATTTACTCATTACTAAATAAAAAGTGGCAAAGCTTAAGATTTTTCAGCTAACTGAATAGATGTTCTCTTGCTAGCTTGTTAATACAGACTGTGGTCAAAACAAAACGTGACAGTCGTTTATTTACGTTTATTTAGCCTATCTGTGTTTCCAGTTCCCCACTATCCCCCAGTTCAATATGCAGTTAACGCATTAAAACTCCTGTTGTGCTGAAGGTAAAGAGCTGTTTTAGGTTTAAACGCTGCATGTGTTATCAAGTTGTTGTTTTAAGGCTTGAAAGCATATAATCTATAATCACAAAACCTCCACCACCCAGTTGACCTCAAGGAGTGGTTCTCTGTGTTTAGGCTTATTATTCATGGCCTGTGCTGGGGAACAGAAGACCTCTAGTGGCTTTCTACAACAGCCAGTGTCATCAGTGCATATAGAGTTGTTTTTTAGGTTCGCATTAAGTGCTACAGACTTGCTAACATGGTTACCTATGCACCTAGGAGTGATCTTAAAATCGGGTTCATTTCAGGTATATTAAAAAAAAAGATTAACCACCCTCCCCGTTTCCATGTTGTTTATTTTAAATTCTGACTGATCTGAATGTTGCCATAGAGTGGGCAACATTTTTCCAGTCTTCTGTTGTGTTGGTTTGGTGAACAAGACGGCAATTGCGTCCTCAGTTTCCTATTTTTGGCTGAGAGGATCAACACACGGTGTGGTCTTCTGCAAGGTTTTTGTGTGTTGTGCGATCAGAGATGCTTTTCTGCATACATACTTGTCACTTAAATCACCTTTCTTTATCACGATTGTGGTACTTGCAGCACTGGACGTGTGTTTTTAAGCGTGTGCACATGTTTCATCAGTACGTCCAGAGCCTTGTTTAGACATGATCATTTTTGTCCACAAATCTTTTTAAATGCAGCCTTGCCATTGGTACTATTTGTAAGGCTTTTCATTCAAGCATACAGTGTTATTTGTAATGCCGCATTTCTTTGTGATGACTGTGAAGTAGGCCATTGTGTCCTCGATCAAGAAAGTAAGAGTGAGTGATATTAAAGGTTATCTTTAAGACAAAATAGACAATGTGCTGCCAAGCTATCAGTCTTGGAATTTGGTTAGTGTACCCAAATAATCATTTGCTCCTGCTAAACAAAACCTTGAAAAGTGCAGTGTGATGTACTTTGACCAAAGTAGAGAGATATAGCGGGGAGTCAGTCAGGGTGGGTGTGGATTTCTTTATAATCACTGGTCAGTACATATGGCTGTCCAAGAGGGATCCTTCAGCTCTTCAGCTGCTCTTGCTCCTGTTAAAGAGCTTTTGTGAAGTTTTCATTTAAATGAGATGAAATGTCCAAGGTCAGAGTGCACCAACAGATTTGTGATATCAGGTTGCATAAAGAAAACTGACTTAATACATCCAACAAAGTTTCACCTTTAATAAGCTTAACACAGAAACACAGACTTAAAATAAACTTCAGACATATTTATTAAGTAAAAGACTTAGAAGTTAGTGTATGGCATTAACAAGTACAGAACTCAAGTCAATAATTTAAGCAATAATTGGCAACTTCACATGAACATTTAGTTTTGCTTCACTGATATTCTTTGGGGAATTTCTAAAAGGATATATACAAAAAAAAAAAAAAAAACGAACAGAGAGAGAGACTTAAATAATGGCTGTACATTAGACAAATGCAACTTAAGGGTGACATGATGTTCCAGGCAGGACTGAGGAGTGAAAAAAATGACTGCAGTAGTGTTACAAAGACAAGTTTTAGACAACACGTGACGGCTCGGGACATCCCCAACAGTCCGCTGCTCCGATATGTGCAGCCATCACCTTTGCTGTTCCTTCTGTCTAAATGCTACAAATAAAAAGGTCAGGCGCCTTCTCTGAGAGATCCCTCCCTCCTCCTCTCCGAGAAACAGGAACTGCCCCTGCTCACACTGTTGCTAGGCAACACGTTAAATTCCAGTGATCCGCGCATTGCCGGGCTTCTCGGCGCAGACCTACAAATCATCAAGTCCTCCATTAGCCGAGCTGTCAACAGCAGCTAATGCCAGAAGACTCCGGTGAATACAAGAACAACATCATCAGCTACAAAAACACCCGTGACAGCCACAACAAAGTAGAAGCATCCACCGGGGGGGGGGAGCCGGATTCAGGATGAAAAAAAAAAAATATTATAATATTTATATAATATATATATAATATATTATTATATATATATATATATATATATATATATATATATATATATATCCAAATATATCTAATGCATAAAAAAAGAAATGAGGAAGAAAAAAGTCAGGAGCAGCCTGTTCCTCTCTCAAGGAAACTTAGTTAAGAATTGAGCTTTAAGAGAAACTTCTCCATATTACAAATCAGTCTGTTAACAGCTTTTGGGACAAACTACTGCTTAACTTCCCCATCAAAATGGCATTTGACAACCTCCCTTGTCCCTTAATGATGACTTTTAGCACCTCAGTATATATCAATAAAGCCAGGGTTTGACAACCTTTAGAGCAGTTTCTGGGTTCTTCCGAGCATAGCTGCATAGGCAGAGATCACCCTCACTAACTTCTGATGCACACCCGGTCATTTTATTCTATAAGCAGGCAGATTTAAAGAGTTAAAGAGCGGATACTGTACCAGAAAGTTCATGAAGCTGGAAAATGTTTTATGGTTGAAGCACCAGACAAGCAATCTTCAAGTGTTTCTTAATACTTGAAGATTGGTAGCTAATCAATGCAAGGCTTGATTAACTACCACTAGCATGGATGTAAAAAAAGAGAAGACTCATTTGCTGTCACAAGAAAAGGAAAAGGTCTAGGCTTCTTCTTTTGAGAGTTATCCTAATGTTCCACACACTTATACAATTTTGGGCCCATTGAGAATGAACATTAGCCACCTTTCCAGCTTAGAAATTATAATGGAGGTTTCATTATTGAAATTGTATGCCTGTGTCAAGATTTTTGAAAAGAAGGAGAAAAGTATGACCCAATTTTGGTCTTCCTTTTTTAACAGTCCATTGTCCATCAGGCAATTTTCTGTTGGTAAAATTGCTAATCAGTTGCATACCCCTTAAAATCAGCCCCTGGAGTTCATGAACCCTGATAAGCACGTTTATGGCTCCTAAGCCTCCCAGGACTACTTGTCATTAAACGTCTAGCAGGAGAGGGATTTGAAAAGAAAGATTTCTTTTGGTACACTAAAATACATCTATCGAGTTTGTGTTGTGTAAAAGGACATCTTTGTGTAATCGATGAAGGCCGAGCAAGAACAACTTCATTTTTATGCTGGAACATGTATAAAAACCGATATCCATTAAGCAGGGTAAGATGATTCATCAGTGCCATAATAAAGGCCTGTGGTTAGTAACACTGAACAAAAGACTGCCGTGGTGGGTGATGATGGGTAATGGCAGAGAATCCACAAAGACATGCACGTGTTTGTTTATTTGTTTTTAAGCACAGCACGTCCAACCCGTGACTGTTTTGCAGATCATGTGAGTGCTGAGTCACATTGTGCTCCTTCAGACGAGCTCTCGGTTTGTCCTCCCGCTGCCTTTGCAAATGAGCGCTCTGCTCGCCAAACCCCTCCTCTCTCTCCACCTTTTCTCCACTGTCAGCTTTAATTTCCAACCGATATACCAAGAGGGGTCAGCTGGGAGAGGAATTTCTCCAAGGCCTGCCATTTTCAATCCCCCGCACCGTATTTCTGTTGATACCAATTCCTGTCAGATGTCAGATTTTACATTTAATCTCGTCACTCAGCCCATACGGTGACCTCAGACAGACATTCAAACAAAGATGGATGGGAAAGGGCACTGCCTTCAGAATTTTAAATGCAGTCAGATGTAATAGTTACAAACCCTTCCTTTGGTAAAGAGGCAGTAGTGACCTTATTCAAGACGATTCACAGCACCTTAAAGCGCCTGTTATGCTCTGCTAGCACATGGTTTAATTGAACATCAAACATAATTCTCTCTCTCTGCAGATATTGTTATGCTGGTGGCAAGTCATGATCAAAACTTCAGCACTGGAGTTGAATATAGAAAGTGATTTTTCTGGAAGCGGTTGACAGGAGTTTGCAGGAGGAAGCTGCAAAGGAGAGAGAGAGAGAGGCTTTGTAAAAATCCACATAATTGCTCTCTTTCCCTTGCACACCAGGCACCCCCGCTGAGCCAGCAACAGTCTCGTTCGTTTGTCCTTTTGCCACATTTATCTTAGTAGTATTCACATGATGGAGCAGCTCTTGGACTTGTCCTTGCTGAAGGTGGAGGAGAGGAGTTCCGTCTTGCTGGGCAGGTGTAGGAGTCTCTTGGAGAGGCGCCGGACTGGGCTGGGCTTATTGGTGGCTTGGAGTTTGTTCATGCAGGCCAGAGCCGCGGTACGGAAAACACTATGGATGCTCTTCTCTGATGTGAAAGCTGAGCACTCCAAGTAAGCCTCGGCTCCAAGCTGCCTGGCTAATGATGAACCCTATAAAATTGAAGGAAGAGATGAGTCTGGGTCGGAGGAAATCAAAGACAAAGGAGGGGCTTGTAGACAGGATGGAGACAGAAGCTTAAGCAGATACTAAGGAGCAAAAAGTTGATGAGGAACAAACCTGTTCGTGGGAGATTGGAGCCTGTTTCTGATTGGACAGCTCCATGCGGGTGCACACGTCTGTGCGCAGGTCCGTCTTGCAGCCTACTAGCAGGATCCGAGTGCTGGGGCAGAAGTCCTGGATTTCTGCTTTCCACTGCAAAGAAAGGAAACAGGTTTAACTGGGCAAGAATAGACATGAGGGATGGCAGACAACTGATCAATGAGGGCAAACTGCAGGGATCCATACCTTCTTGAGTGCACCGTCTACTGTGTCCGGTCGGCTGATGTCAAAGCATAAGAGGACTGCATCTGAGTCGCTGTAGCAGAGAGGCCTGACATTGTCGTAGTACGGAGAACCTAACAAGACAGAGAATTGACAAAATGAGACCTTAATTTTCTAAATATGCAATTTAGGAAGCTAGAGATTTAGGATTCCGAGCTTCTCCATTCATTTAGTTTGGTTTTTGCGTCTCGTGATCCATTCTGCTGTCTCTTTAGACCAGCCACTCCCGCCTGCACTGCTTTTCCTGCCTGCTGCATCACCTGGGGCATGTTCACTCTGACAAATGTGTGCACCCCACTGTCTTAAAAAGGCATCGCACACAATGGATCAGCTGCCACAGGTGCAAAGAATGGGTAGCACGCATAAGATGGTGTTCTAATACACCACAGTTTTCATTTTTAATAAATGTTTTGCTTGTTTTAGGGGCTTTGCTCACCTTTACTAATTTACCACACAGTGTATACACCCATTCCTCTGCTAGTTATATGTCAGACTGGCAGTTTATGTCACATCTATGCAACATTGTGGTTCTGATTCTGATTTCTTTTTAGTCATTCAAAGCCTGAACCACGAAATAATGGCAAGAAAATGCAATTTTAAAAACTGAGTGTTTATTGAACCTTCTGACAATATTTTAGATTAATTAAATATTAATTTGAGCATATGAGTTTTAATTTGTATCATATTTGCTACATCTCACAATTTTTATTTATTGTTGAATTTACTGTTGATTTAATGTTGAAGTTTTTTTTTTGATGATGATGTAAAAGTCTCAAAAACACACAAAATCTCATGTAGCAAATATGACACATTAGTCGTTACGGGGTTAAATTTGTACTTTGACTTTATCACTGCCTGGACTGTGTGCTTTGTCTGCCTGCCTGGATTTTCCATCCTTGAACCTATTTTTGTAAGTAAAGCTTTTACTTTTTTATTTCTATAACCTGCTTCTTGTGTCGTGCTCTTTGGTCCTAAGAACTCAACCCTCCACAGTCGGCCACTCGGCACGAAACAACATCTCTGAAAACTGAAAGCTTTTTTTCAATTTTGTTAGCCAGCAAAAACAAAAATATGACTGCTCTTTCTACGGTGTGCCAGCTGACAGTATTATAATGTTCCATCACAGTCATCCTACTCACATTAACACAGTACAAACACAAACAGACACACACACCCCTGCCAAGCTCATGAGAGTTTCACAAAGCCTGGAGCCTTCCCACTGATGGGAAATTTTCCAGAAAAGTCCACTAACTCAGTGAGTCAGACAGTGCAACTATCTTTCAATGATTCAATAGAAAACTTTTCATACCAGAGTTTTGAATGATAAAATAGAACCCTGGTTAAATGTTCAGGTAGACTCTTTACATATTTGTTCTCTAATAAAGAGATACACACTGGTGGCTGTGGAGCTCATTTGAGTACAGTAAAGTCACTCTTATGTTCAAGAAAGCAGTTTGAGATGATCTAAGCTTTGTGACATGAGTGCACTGTGGTCATAAAGGGATGGACTTGGTCAGCAATAATACTTGGGTAAGCTGTGGCTTTTAAATAATGCTCACTTGGTACTAATGACCCCAAAGTATGCAAAGAAAAATATTATCCACTAAACCGTCACAACAAATACTAAACAGCTGATGATAGGCAGGATGAATCCATGCTTTCATGACGCCAAATTATGACCCTGCCATCTGTGAGCTGCAGCAGATGCTAAGTTTGAACTTCAGCAGTTTGTCTTGACCATCTTGACGTCTTGCTGTCGTGTGATTGGCTGATTAGATATTTCCAACAAGCAGCTGAACATGTGTACCTAAAATAATGGCCTGTTAGTAAAATTAGTATATCTCTATATCACAATCAGAACCAGAATACTTTATTATTCCCTAATGAAAAAAACATAAATTCTAATTTTAAATTCTAATTCTAAACATAAATTCTCGTGCAAGAGTTGGAAGGTATGTAACATTCTTGGAAAACACTTTTCTTTATCTTTGTAGTGAAGAATTCAAATAATCTCCATTCTGGATGAAAAGAGATGAAAGCAGCTAGCATGGTTCAACAATCTACAATGTCAGTGGGCTCTACTGTCAGACTGCTTTTCAGTCAAGCACAGTAACTGTTGTTATCGCCACTCACTGAACTGCAACTGATAATCAAAGCTGCAAAAATGTATATGCTTCTTCTTCATTTTTCTGCAATGTTTGTTGTTCAAAACATTATTCAACAGCATCAAACACATTACTCTTGTCACGTCTGCACTGGCAGACGAGTGGAGGTTGAAAGTAGGACCCAAGCGTCAGATGCAGGTGAACTTTATTAAACCGGTAAGTGAAACAAACAAAAACGCAGCAGGAGAGAAACAGAAGCTAAGGCTACGTCCACATGTACACGGGTATTTTTGAAAACGGAGATTTTCCGTTTCCGTTTTAAAAAATAATCCCGTCCACACGTAAATGCAGAAATGAAGGAAAACGCTGCTATGAACATGCCAAAGCAACAGGTGGCGATATATTCCTAACCGTGTAGAAATGTTGGCCAATCAGAAGTCTAGAAGCCTCGGTGGGAAATAGTAAACAAAGATGGGGCATAGAAGCAGATCCTAGTCGTATGTGTGGAGGAACAGTAACTGTGTGTGTATATGTAAGCATTTAAACACTGCAGAGAGTACAATTAACAGTAACAGTATTGTGGAAATTCATTTCACCGAAACAATAACGTGGCGCACAGTGTGACGTCAAAAAAGGCGCACACCTTTGATGCTGCGTTTTCTGCGTTTTTCTTGTCCACGCGTAAATGCAAAAACTGAGTTTTCAAAAATATCCACCCTGGCCGGAGTTTTTAAAAAACGCTGTTTACGTGTGGACGAAAGGTGCAAACGCATAGACAAATCTGCGTTTTCAAAAATACCCGGGTACGTGTGGATGTAGCCTAAAAAACCTATACTGGGAGAAACTAACAAAACGCCGCCATGAAACGCAGAAATAACAGAATGAAGCAGAAAAAGAACACAGACGAACCAGCAACGCACCCAAGAAAACACAGGGCTTAAATACACACAGGGCAATCAGGGACCGTGAGACAGAAGGGAGACACGGCTGGGATTAATTGGACATAACATGACAAGGGGAAGCGAAACTTGAAACACTGACAAGAGAAACTGACCTTCAAAATAAAACAGGAAACACACCGACAACACTCTAAACACGCAAACTTAACACAGATTGGGGTGACAGAACATAGAAACTTGAAACGTGGAAAAGGAGAGCACAGAGGACACAAAACACTAGAGATGATCACAAACAACCCAAAATAAACAAAACCACAGAATATTAATAAACTTAAGCAGAAACACAGAGTCCACAGACTACAGACCATAACAACTCTCACACAGTGGTATTTGTATAGACAAATAAGATATAATATACAGATTTATGTTATGCTTTTAGGTGGATTGTTGCTGTCTTTTTTTAGCTAACTGCCTCCCAGCTACATCTAGTGTTTTTGCTAACCCAACCTAAACTACTGCTAGCTGAAGCCTTATATTCAACCTGCTACATAAGGAACTGTTATCCATCTTAACGTAACACTTTTAGTTGTCCAAATGCTTCCTTTAAATTTTTAAACAATTACTCCAAAACTTTACGCTGTATTTCACGATCCACAGTTTCAAATACTCAGCTCGATGGAAACCAGCAAAAACAATACGAATTTACATACACCTGCTGCAAAATAACATCAACTTTTATAGCACTGCTGTATAGTACCCACAATTTAATTATGATTATTTGCTTCACTATAGTCTTTTGTGGAGCAATCACTGTACTGAGAGGCTGTGTTGTCCACTTAAATCTCACTTAAAGGAGAGTAGTACCTTTAATACCTTTAGTATTAAAGGTTGATCTTCTGATTTCTTAGCCCTTGCAGATACCTTGATATCATTGCACATTTTTAAAATGTATTTGAAGGCTTTTTCCTCTATCAAACTTAAAGCCCTAACATATAAAAACCTCCTCCTGAGCATTGTATAACACCTTGTTTGTCCTAGTGAATTATGACATTAAGGAAGCATATTTAGCTTACAATTCCAAAAAAAGCAACTTTTTTTTTTATATCATTCTCAGGAAGTGCTAAAAACAGACTGACAGGACGTCCGCTTTCTATTGTCTTCCCTCTGCTACCTAATCACTCCGCACACACTAACACTAAAATGTAATTTCCTTCTCCTGTCCTCCGAGGTTAACTTCAAGCCTTCTGTGCTGATATAAGAGGTCATAATTATAGCAAAGATAGATTTTTCTATTAGTCCCCCAGCTGGACAAACAAACAATCATGTTATCTTGATGAGCTTTACAGTCAATAACTAAACGTTTTACAACAATATTACTGCCAAGAAGCAACCCTGTTCAAACTCTTGGTTGGTTCAGCCCGTCTAAATTTTTGGACTTAAAGCTGCAAAGTAAGTCAACTTACACAATCTCTATCTTTCAGAGGGAATCAAAGCGGCCTTCACATAACTATCCAGGGTGATGTAAGGCTTGAGAAAGAGGAGGCAGACATATCTAAAGAGGACACAACTTCTAGCACCTACCACCTCCCACACATTAGCAGCCCCCTGCCTGGACACACAAACAAGACAAGCCAAACACACACACACGCACACAAAACCCTTTTAGCTGAGCAAACAGGAGCTGTTGCAACTGTCCGCTCTACTCTCACACAAAAAAGCAAATGGTGGGAGCTGCACTCATCTTTGTACACCAAGAGGACTATAAGACTGCCTTAATATAAATCAGAAATAAAACAGCCTTTCATATGCAAAGAAACTTAAGATGCACATAGAAATAGGGTAAAAAAAAAAAAATTCTCCTTAGGCAGTGTCAGTAAATCTGAAATGATAATAATTAGTTTATAAGACATATCAAATTCCGTGGACACCGAATACCTTAAGACTCGAGGTTCTCGAGGAACCAATTTGTGCTTCGGGAAGTTATAACACTCACTCTTCATTTCTCTACCGAACAGTTAGCTTGGTTAAATGTGAAAATATTGAAATCCATTATCAGAAAACATCTTCTACATGTTTGAATAAAGAAAACAGGAAAGCGGAATTAATAAGCAAAACAAAGAGAGATGGGAAGCTCGTGTTTATGTTTGTGCTCTAAATGTAAATCGGTCTTATGCAACGTTTCCTCTGGAAAGGGTGACTGTCCAGAAAGTTTTCACTTCGTGGGAGACAAACACACAAACCTACATTAGTTCAGTGCTGCTTTCAGTTACATAAGACCTCTTTTTTCAAAGCAGCACACACCATAAGGCAGTGAGGAGGTCATGCTTCTCTTTACTCTCAGTATCCCTCACTGGTGCCTTCTGTTCACAGCGACTGTACGCCGCACACACACGGTTACACGCATAGTAAAGAAGGGACGCGCACAAACATGCGCTCATCCACACTCGTGTGGACTTCCACCCCCTGCGTGGACGAGGCATCCCCCTCGCCCCCTGTTAAACAACCCCACTGAAGGCCAACTGGCACCGCTCAACTTCCTCTGAACACAAAACCTCAGCCAGTGCTGTTATGAAATAAATCTGTAGTGCACCGGATGGCTTTGCTTATTGATCCTATTTACATAATTTCTATGTACATTCAAAGGTCAGCTGAAGTTAGCACATTAACCCAGAGGCACAAAGCACACGAAACATTTGGAACTAAAAAACAAAAAACAAAAGAAGAAACAACCGATTGTTTTCATGATACGTTATCTGCTGATTTCTTTTCTTTTCACAGAGGTTATGGCAACATCTGCTAAGACCTTGATTTGTTCAACCTACAAGCCCAGAAATCTTAACTTAAAAAAAAAAAAATCACATTAAAAAAACTAGAAGCAGCAAATTCTGGTGTGTGCTTTATATTTAAGACCTAAATAATCAAATCTACTTTTGCTTTACTCTTTTGTGACATTGATAGCTTGACTTTGTCCACGTTGAGGCCAGAGGCCAGCAAATTCAGGCTTGAATGATCAGCTGAGTGTGCTGGAATCGAATCAGCTGCTAAACTGATTATTTACTTAAGGCCGTTTTCGAACACAAATGGTAAACACCACATTTTTTATTAGTATAATATCTTTGTAAACTGCATATATGAAGGTTTTGGTCTGGTATTGAAACACACCAGGCTAGCTGGTATTGTTCTCAGTTTTTATGACAGATAATAAATGATTTAATGTTGAAATCTCAAAAAAAGGATGTAAGGATCAAAAAGCAACAACCAGCAGATTTATTTTACGTGTCTACCAGCCATCAGGATTATTTATTCGTAATAACAGTTTCATAGTTTTTCAATCCGGGTCTCTTTTTAATCTAAATTTGGCTCATTAGGATTTCAGATTCAAAACTGGATGTTTGGCTCCAGATGTTCTTAAAGTAATCCAGGCAGGCTTGCGACTCAGACCTGCCGATCACTGATCTCTCAGCAGATCTCACACCACTGAAAAGCTGCTTAACTGCATCAAAACAGGATTGACAGAATGTGAAGACTGAGTAAACAGCAACAAAACTGTAAGCCAAACAATACACGGGACGTGGTTCGATTCACCAACTCCAGGCTGGCTGAGTTTCCCAATAATGACCCTTTATCCCAGCAGTGAACCAAATTACCTTACTTTACTGCCCAACCTAAGCCGCAAAAGTTAAAATAACACTGAATTAAAGGTAGACAGAAGAGGAGCTCACCTGATGTGTCCCAAAGGCTGAGCTCCACACGCTGGTCTTCAAGCTCCAGACAGGCTGTGTAGTTCTCAAACACAGTAGGGACATAAGTCTGGAAACAATTAAAGAAAGAGATTTTAAAAAGACAAACACACACAGAAACAAGTAGATTTAATTAATCAGTCAGTAAGAAAAGAAATTACAACATATTCTCACATATTATTCTAGATTAAATTTTGCTTCTTTTTTTTTACATTTAAACAAAATCAACACATCAGTTCATGACTTGATGCTTAAATGTAAGCAGCATTATATATATGTATATATGTGTGTGTGAGCTAAAAAAAAAAAAAAATCTCATTATTATAGCTTACACACTATTTCTAATTATACCAATTATACCCCCAAAAAAATATGCAGAACAGAATCTACAACATCGTATAAATGAATGATAATGAGACATTTTTTAGGGATTTTTCCTCAGTTTGATCCTAAAACGACTGCAGACACATGAGACGTGTGCAGAAATCTCATACCTCTGGATAGCAGTCCTTCACCAAGACTTGTAACATCGCTGTTTTACCGCATTGGACGTCCCCAACCAGCACCAGCTTACACCTCCCTACAAACGGCTGTGTGAGTCTTCGCTCCTTCATGTTGGAATAAAACAGGGAGACCTTCAAAGGAAGCCCGAGTGCAAATGCGGGAAAGTTTGGTAAATCCTCTCGGACGCCGGGCACCGTACACGCTGTCCTCCTGCAGTGAGTGAGTGAGGCTGAGCAGCAGTCAGTGAAGGAGTCACTGCGGAACTTTATATTGTCGCGCCAACCAATGAGCGCTGCGCAGTGCGCGAGCCGCAGGAGGAGGGCCGTGCACGAGAGCTCATCTTCTAATAGGGTTGGAGGAGCAGCTTGTTCACCACGAGTATCCTTTTATTTAATAGTACAAACGAATGTTCTTCTGCTTTTATTTTGGATACTTTGTTTACTGTTTATGTGGGACAACAGAGGACACAGTAGACCAGGGATGTTAAACATAAGTCCGGAGAGCCAGAATGGGCCACTAATCAGGGTCTGATCCAAACCACTGGATGGCTTGGAAAATGTGAAAATTTTTAAAAAGGAGAGCAAAAATTTTTTTTAGGTTTTTTTTTTTTTGTTTTGTGTTAAAAAAAAAAAAACATACAAAAAAGTGTGAAATGCTGCCCTGCCTGGCTAGACCAAAAAAATAAAAATAATAATAGATAAGCAGAACTTGAAAATTAACAAACCATGCAGTTAACAGGATTGACATAAATAATTTCATGGGCAAATATCTATGTGTAATTCATGTAAAAGTATCTACGATGAGCATAAATAATGTCACAGTACAGTCACAGTTTTTTCTTGTCAGACTCTCAAAATATGGGACACATTTTGTAAGATAAGGTTTACTTTATATATCCCAAAAGCAGGCGTTAGAGCAGCCAAAACATTTTTTTTTAAAAATGGCGCAAAGCAGAATAAATAGTAAAAACAAAAAAAAAGATTAAAGATTAAATAAAATGCATTTTAAAAAGCAAAACCATTAAATATATATATTAACACTTAGAGTGTTAACACTGCCATGGGGTGAAAAAGAATAAAAAGTAGTGTTTCATTCCAAGTGGGACACCTGGTCACACTTATAAATATCATCAGATTCTTGGTAAACATATATATAGCTCTTTTCTACTCTAACTGTACACTCAACGCACCTATCACAGCTTGCCTCATTCACCCATTAACACTAGCACTTTTTTCTATCTAACATTCACACACATTCATATGTCAATAGATGCATCGGAGAGCAACTTGGGTTTATTTAGCATGCACACTGGAACAGACCACCTGAGCTACAGCCACCCCAAAAAGCTTATTCACAGCTCCGTTTGCCTGTTTGATTCTGAAACATTGATGGCTTTCCCAACTGCCTCTTTAGATTCAATGATACTTATCAAGCTTATGTGCTCATGGCTTTTTTTTTAAAAACTATTTTAAAAATGTTTTCTAAAGGCTCAAAATACTCCAAACTGTGTTTTAGTCATTTTCATGCCTCTTGAAGTCAATATCAAGCATCCAACAGTGGATTTTGGAACTTTAAGTCAGGATAACAAATACAGTGTATAACTCATGACATGCAGTTAAACCTCAGAACTGAAAATATTTGCATTGGAGTTCTAAATTTTCTACTATTTCTTGTTAAAGGCTGTTGGAGACTTTTCACAGAAGCATTATAAAATGTTAAAGAAGTCTGATGGGAGCAGAAAGAAACAAAAAGCCCCTCTGTGGCCAAATGACCTCTAAAGTTCACTAATTATTTCAGATATTATTTATTTAACCTGTTAAAACAAAGATTAAAAATTTCTATTTTAAAGCAGGTTTATGTGCAAAGTTACTTCTGGGCACGCAGGTGAATTTAGGTTATAGGGGCATCCAGCAGTTAATCCAGATGTTTTTGTGCCCAGCCAATCCAGTATTTCTAGAAATAAACAGATTAAAGACAGTATTATACGGTGAGCTCTGCTAAGCAGATTTTTATTACCTTTGGGCAAACCCAGGCAAGCTATTTCCCCCTTTTCCTGGTTATTGTCAAAAGTAAACAGCTCCATGACTCATGGTTAACAGACAAAAATGAGAGTGGTATCTATTTGGTCACCAAATTCCCAAATTAACAGGGCAAATAAGCGTCAGCAGTGCTAAATTACGGTATCTCTTTAAGTAAACACAAAACCCTTCCAGTGACAGTAAATCCACAAGTTTAAGGGGATTTTGATTGTCTTTTGTTTTCTTCCTGGAAAACTTCATGCATCTCTGACTATGACTCTGTTCACAGCTAATAAAAACAGATACTCGTAGGAAAATATTTGCCAACTTTGCTGGAAAATGTGATTCATGTAAATCAACTGCTGTGCAAATTCCTCTTCTGTCAGGCGGTTTTTGTAGGTGCATCCAGGAGTCATCAAAAGCACCTCATCTGTTATACGAGTGGTGTCAGTGAGGGTTTTGTGTGCAGTGTAACAACAAAGTCAGCAATGAGCGCAAGAAAAGACCAGAGAAAATAAAGCATACCCATACACATACACAAGTTTTATTCTCCCCCTTAAACCTTGCCATACCTAAGGTCAAAGGTCATTTTGTCATGAAAAGGCTCAACTGAAATGGTTCAAAGTGTAGGATCACATACAAATAAAGCTACTCTGAATCTGGTGATGTATACGTAGCCTGAAAGACTCTGTTAATCGAATTCATGTGTCACAGTCATGTAAGGATGCAGTTATTTTCACACAAAACATATGAGTGACTGCATGTGTGCACGTGTTTGTGTAACATACAGTGTGCAGCATACAGGGCAAAGTGCTGCCTGCTAAATCAAACAAATGACAGTTGGTTTCATCAGTCTGGACAAAAACAGATAATTCAAGAGTGTCAGCTGTGTGGCAGAGAGGAAATGGAGCATGGTGCGGTGTGCACAACATAAATGCAGAGGGCTTTTTACGAGAATAATGTAATGTGAGAAACTTTGAATGGACCAGAAGCTGCAACCTGACAGAGAAACCACGTAAATGTCTCCTATTGTCTTGCTTCTGTTTATACACTCTGTTACCTCACTTCCTCAAGCTCTATTTCTCCCTACTAGCGTCCTAACTGTATCTTAGTGTGAAACACCCTGCATACTACAAACACTTTGGTGGACTGTTTGTTTTAAACGAGTTTGCAGGAATTTTTGAATGACTCAATCGCGAGGTCAGCCTCCTCAGATTAACATTTCCCCATTTGTGAAATCTGTGAAAAGTCAACAGTGACTGTTTGAAGTTTCTGTGAAACTCAACATTTTATGACTATGTTGTTACTATTCTCTCCAGAATTACATCATTTTATTTAGACTCAAGTAAAACCTCATTAAAGAGTAGCAAAATAGGGGTGGTACTTGCTGTTTATGTACATAAACAGAAGATAAAGATGGAACCAAGTGTATGTTTATGTACAGCAAATTGTATTTACAACCATCTATTACCTAAAGAATAAATGTATTACTACACACTGTTCGCCTACATTAAGTTTATAAAGAAAAATTGGTATCCAAGATTTTGTACATCGAATATAAACCCATGTAGTAAAAATAAACTTAACTTTCATTTTAAACTTGTTTTGGGGTGATTGTTTCTTTTTTGTAACAATCTTGAGTTGAGCATGTGGGTTGTGCCCATGAAAAACTTGCCAAATCTTCTCTGTCATTGCAAGACATCTTATTTTGCTTTAACTCACTTAGCCTGGTTCTGCCAAAGGTTTTTCCTTCTCATTGTCACCAAGTGCTTGCTCACAGGGAGACGTCTGATTGTTGGAGTTTCTCTGTATTATTAGGGTCTTTACCTTACAATAAAAAGCGGCTTGAGGTAACTGCCTTTGGGGTTTAACACTAGATGTAATGAATTGAATTGAATTGAACTGAATTGAATTGAATTGAATTGAATTTTGGTGTCATTTATTGGATTAGTTGATTAATGTCTGAAGAAACAGGACATTGGAAATTAATAATTGATTCATTGATTGATTCATTTAACAAACAGAGGCCAGCATCTTATTATCTGACCAACACAATCACATTGGCTGACTTACAACAAATGCTGGTTGAAGACTGAGATGCCATCCCACAGCAGTGTGTAGCCAAGCTGTTGACCAGCATGTGGAAGGAGATGCGCCAGGCTATTGTAGGTGTGAATGGTTCTTTCCCATCCTACTGAGTCCTCTGTTTGCTAAATTAATAAATTATTACATTTCCAATATGAGTCTATGTCCAATCATCCAGGTAAGGAAATCCCCCCCCCAAAAAAAGATTTTGGATGAAGTCTTTTCAGTGGGAGAAATGTTTCGTCACTCATCCAAGCGACTTCTTCTGTCTTTATAAATAGTACATTTGCATAATGACTGACACTAGCACCACTGACTGGCAATGGGCCATGAGGTCAGTTTCGTGGTAATTAATTTGCCAGTTGTCATGACCATTGATCAATGACCATTCCAACATGTCTTGTCTTTTTATGATAAAATCATCAAATCACGTTTGGCTTAGCAGTCTATAAAAGGCATCAGGTTTCACCTGTTACCAGTCATTTTAGTCTGTCTCAAGCCTCCTGCCTTAATCGAGTCGGTAGAAGCCATTCTCATATTAACACACGGTATATGTAAACATACGTAAACATATGTATGCAGATACAAATAGACCACGATTAAAATCAAGACAAGCAAGCAGTGGAATCCAAAAATGAAAACAATTAGCTCTCATACCTCCTGTGGTAAGGTTACTGTGTCTTTGGACATGCATTTTTGCGTCACTGCACACTGGTTTTAGGGTTTCTACTAGCCTGTTTCACCAGGTTTTCCTGATGAAAGGTGACAGTGGCACACTTTGGCCATCTAAAGACACAGTGACTTTTAAATCATCGCAAAACTACGACTCCTCATGTACAGCAAACACAATGACCTTTGGTGCTGGCCAGTGGGCTCCGTGGACACCTGACAGCAGTCTGACCTACATTCAGCAGCTGAAAGTTGTATCTTCACTCCGTGTTTTGCCTTATCTAACTTGCCCCACTGACATTTAGCATTGTGTCTGGTTGCTATGTGTTACATACAGTATGTGTCTTCGCGTATGATGAGCCACTGGAGAGCTTAAATAGAACAACTCACAGAAATGCTCGATATTGCAAACTCCTGAATGTAAATGTGCATTAATTTGCTACTCTAATATACGGTAGAATTGTGGATAAAAGCAACAGAAGGCATTAATCCCAAATCTGATTCAAATGATTTCTAGAAATTGATTCAAAAGGGGGGA